TGTTTCTGATAAATAATTTTAGACAAACTTTTTCAGCTTTGGCTGCACACTGAGATCCCCAAGGGAGATTTTTTTTGAAATCCCATTGCATCTGGCCACACCCTGGACACCTAAATCAGAATCTCTGTGGTTGAGACCCATGCATCAGTATTTGTTTCCAGCTCATGGGATTATTCCAGTGTGCGACCAAGTTTAAAAGCCATAGATATATTATTACAGAATTAAATAAACTTTCACTTCCTTTCAAGTATTAACAGATTTAGCATGTCATAATATAGTGTAAATATGAAATGTTGCTATAATAAAGGTGTGATTTTACTAGAATACCGGTTTTCAGGAATTTAATTTGAGTAGTGGGCATCAGATATTCCTTTCAAACTGATGAAAATTGCTATTGCAGTCTGCCACTTTTGCTCTCACAGTTAATTACGTATACATTGTGTTCCCACAGTAATGTCAACTTTTGCCAATTCCATTTAGATTATTACATAAAAGGAAACTAATATCTTCACACAGATTGCTAAAAGAGTATTTGGTCTATATGCACACAATTTCAATGAAAGCTGTTCTCTGTGCTTTTTTTTTAATCAAATGATTCTAGGGGATTCTCTGTTTTAAAGATATATGTTTGAGTATAAGATTAAGGCATAGTTTTTAAGTTCAGATTTTTTTCTAATATTCTGGACACCAATAATACCACGTAAAACATTTGATGTAGCATATAATGTGGGGCATAAATCTTTAATGTTAACTAATATTATTAAAGAATAAAATATATTATTATTACTTTATTATGCAGAATACTGAACAGTTCTGTGACTTGAGACTTGCATTCTGTAAAATGAAGATTTTAATTAGTTAACTTTGACAGCTGTTTCCAAGTCCACCATTTGGAGATTCTGAGCTTAATTCTGCAGTGTAGCCCAAGCAATGTCTCCTACACATTTCAAGTTACCTACTTTAATCTTACATAAAAGATGTAAAAGCTGAGGTGGCCAGTGGTGAAATAATTCTTACAATATCACAAAGAAGTTGTTTGCCTTGTATTAGGAGAAGAGGTTATTAGAGAGGTCCAATCCACTTAAGTACGTACCTCCCTCCATCATATAGGTCTCTTGTTTTTGTTTTGTTTTTAATTATGTCTTGAAAAAGTAGTGAGTTGAAACTCTGACAGCTTAGATACCTAAAGTTCTTCAAAAAAAAAAAACAAAAAACAAAAAAAAAAACAAAAAACCCTAAACTAAACTAAAACTAAATAGCCCTGTAAATACTTTTTGTTGGCTAAACAAAAAATTGTTCTATTCACCTGTTGTAAAATGCACCCTTTTAGTTTTCTGTGTCTGAAATCAGGATGAGGGGCAGTGGTTAGTTACTATCATTGTCAACTAGCTAGCAGTTGTTATAAAGAGCGATTTCTCAAGCTTGTATGAATGTGGTCATGACTGTTCACATAGTCATGCTTCACCTGAGTTATTAACCAGTGTTTAAACCACAGGTGCAGAGTTTAATTGTCATTCAGCTTTCCTTCAGAAAAGCTGTAGTCTGATTCAGTATTAGAACAAAAGTTATTGTGTGAAAACAAAGGCAAGGAAATGGTGGCAAGTATTAAATTTCATAAGACAAAGCAAATATTTATTGTCAGAGCAATGACCACAACTCTGTATTTTCTTGTTAATCAACAGCTGACTGATTTATATAGCCTTTTCCCTTATGTTAACCAGGCGACAGTATCACCAGGGATCTCATTAGAAATGCAGAATCTTGGGGTGTCTTGCCTCAGTGGCTAAGTTGCCTAAGCATCTGATTCTTGATTTCAGCTCAGGTCATGATCTCAGGGTTGTGAGGTGGAGCCCTATTGGGCACCACACTGGGTGTGGAGACCGCTTAAGATTCCCTCTCTCTCCCTTTGTGTCCCCTTAAAAAAATGCAGTGTCTTGGGCTCACCCCAAATTTACTAAAGCAGAATCTGCATTTTATCAAGATGCCCATGTAATTTCTTTGCACCTTAAAATTTGAAAAGCATAACTTTATAGTTCCAAGGAAGATACCCACAAGAAGATGAAGGTGTTTTATATTTTGTTACTGTGATTAATGTACATACACATTAATGTATGCCTCTAATATGTTGAGCAGTGCAACATAAAGCTGGAGAAAGCCCCTTAGAAAAGATGAAAGAAACTTCAAAGTACCAAAAAGCTGGTGTGACTGATTCATAAGCAAGCATGACAATATTGATAGAAATCTATGTCCAAGTAATTTTAAAAGCTTGTTCTGTAAGCTCTATTTAGGTATTAAATGGATTCTAGTGATAAGAAAGCATATGCTATGGTTTATTTGACATTTTTTTTTTCTCTCCTAGCAACACTTAAAATGACCATGTATCTTACGATAGGTCAAACAATAGATGTGGTGAGATACAGAAAATGGTAATAGAACAGTGTATCACAACCCCATTAGAAACCATGGAAATAACTCCTGTTCAGGAGCCCCTTGAGATAACAGGACAAACTGACATTGAAAATAATTAATTTGTATAGCTTAAGAATTATTCTAGAAATTATTTTATTATCATACAAAGTTTTCTTTGCTAAATAATTATTTACGTAGGAAGAAGGGGAAGAATTAATTAAAATATTAGCCACATTTTATTTGTATGCTACATTAAATAATGACAATGTGGAAATTTTTTCTAAACATAATAGTTCCATTAATAGTAAATTAGTTCATTATAACTTTGTCACATACATTGAATATAAAATTAACATTTGTGATTAGATTTTTCCAACCACAAAAACAAAGCAGGATAGAAATATTTTAAGTAGCTGGATTTGAATATCTGCTTTTAGTTTGGTATTTTAAAAGGTTCATCTAAATATCTCATTCATTTTTTTCTTTGTTGGCATTTAGAATACAAAACATACAATGTACATGCATAATAACATACCAAAAAATTTAACTTGAATTATTTTTTTTCAAGTGATACTGGGTAGCCATTAGAGACTGCTGTCCTTGGGTTAAACCAACCTTTGTGGACTGTTGGACTGCTTTTAGCCTGATTTTCCAGTTTTACTTCTTTATTGATGCTGATCATGATGGTCTTTAACACACTGTTTGCTCAGCTTGCTGTTTCGTTGGGCAGAAGAATGGAGGTTTGAGGAAGATCATGGTGAGGACATTTTTAAAGTTACCAAGATGGCTTTCTGAGTTCATTTAGTGATAAGCTGCTGGGATGCCCAAGTCACGTGCTGATGAGGCATATAGAAAACATTGGAATCTTGCCACCAGAATGGGAAAAGATGACTATGAATCAAAGTACTTTTTCCCACCACATTTTGATTTTTCTGTATACACGATATATTCTATAGGGTGGATGATTAATGAATGCTTTTCACATAAATATATGCAGAGAAAATGTCATAGTTCAGGTATAGTTCCTTCTTATCTGGCTACACTACAGAAGACTTCACTGAGTAGATGAAATTTCAGACTGTTTTAAAGGATGATTAACATCTCAAAAGTCATTCAATCAGTATTTGTTTAATTATATGCCATTATGTCCCACATTTTATTGATTTTCTTTTCACTTGCCTGTGAAGAAGGCTAATTTTAACAATGCTTATTTTGTGTCGTGTCTGAGATCATTCATGAGTGGCAGGAAGTATCTAGTTCATTTTATTTTGGGGACGATTTTAATTCTCTAGCTCTTAAGAATATTTCCCATGAAACTATAACCTAAGATGAATAAACTCTGCTCCTGTTCCAGATACCCAGAGATTTTTTTTTTTCTAAAATTTTATAATTACATGAGTTAAATGTCTGAATGTTGACACGTTGATGGGGGGTGAGGACCAGCTACATGTTAAAGTGAGGGTGATCACCTAGAGCACTACACATACTATTTATCCAAATGTACATTTTTAGATTTATTTCTTGAAAAGTAAAATTTGGGCTTCTTTGGATTTATAAGCAAAATTTAAAAAAAATTTTTTTCTCAAAACAGCAAGTTCTAAAAGTGATGAGAATTATGGTGTGGTCTGGGGGCACCTGGGTGGCTCAGTTGGTCTAAGCATCTGTGTTTGCCTCAGATCATGATCCCAGGGTTCTGGGATCCAGTTCTGCACTGGGCTTCCTGCTCAGCTGGGAGCCTGCTTGTCCCTCCCTCTCTGCCTCTCCTCCTTCTGTACTCTTTCTTTCTCTCTCTGTCTCTCTCTCTCTCTCAAATAGAGTTAAAAAAAAGATTATGGTGTGCTCTGTGTGACTGGTAGCATTTGTATCACCTGGAAGCAAGCTTTTTTTCAAAAATGCATAATCTTGGGGTATACCCCAGACTGACTGAATCTGAATCTGCATTTTAAGAAATCTCTAGGCGATTCCTGTGCACGCCAAAGTTTGGGAAGTGCTAGTAGCCTGTTCCCTTACCTGATCTCCAATTTTGATTATGTAGTACTAACCGAGAATCTGCAAAGTAAATCCTAGCCCCTCAGTGTTTCCTTCAAAGTAGACATGGTTTATAGCATTCTCAAACAGAATGGAAAACACATGACTAGATTTTAGAATAGAAAAATAATATCAACTTTATATGCTTCAGAACTCTGTGAGCATGTCTTTTCAGGTTCTTATGACTTTTTGAGTTATACAATAAGTATTTTTTCTGAACAAGGAATAAAATTATATCCACTAAATGAATTCATATGTCCCTGTTGTACTGTGGTCTTCTGTTGATAGTGTCAGAATGTTATTTTAGCTTTCTTAGACTTGTGGAAATCATTCTGCTTGTTCCCTACAGGAATTAGAATAAAATACTAACAATTATGCATCTTTAATTTTCAAAATGCCAAGTAATTACTCACATTTACAAAAAGGAAAATTATTTTAGATAATCCTAACATATTTCCTTAGTAAGGGGCAGTTAAATCTAAAGTGTTATCATGAATATTTTTGTTACAATAATCAGAATGAAAAATGAATTTATAAGCTTGCCTCTCTTCTTTCTTTTCCAGATGCAAGACAAAGGTCTACCCTGATGAACTTCCAAACACAAGTGTAGTCATTGTGTTTCACAATGAAGCTTGGAGTACTCTCCTTAGAACTGTTTACAGTGTTATAAATCGTTCCCCACGTTATCTGCTCTCTGAGGTTGTCTTGGTAGATGATGCCAGTGAAAGAGGTATAAATATTCTTCCCCCTATATATTTTTTTAATCAGAAAACTTCATTATGGTTGAAAAGATAGCTGGGTAATGATCTGTATTTTCCTTAAAATTCTACTAACCCTGAAATCACCTATCAAATTTCATCAATATACCTAGCCAGTGCCAATTCCAGGAGTCTGCGACTAATTCTTTCAGTTTCTCTCATGATTCCATTTGGTCCATACTAACCTAAGAAATCAGACAAAGTGATGTTCAAAAGTTTTTATTTTTTTCCCAACTTAAATGATCACATGATTGAGCATTAATACGACTTCGTGTACTTCTGTCTTTTGTGTGTGTATGTGCAGGTAAAAGCAAAATAACTTGCAATTAAGAAGTCTCCATTTACTCTTGTGGCCCAATTTCTAAATTAAAGTCCAATATATTAATGTCCTTATCTTTGCCAGTCAACTGATAGAGTTATTGTGAAATATACATTAATTTACTGATAAGATCTCTTTGTATTTATTTCACCTAGTGCAAAAAAATGATGGGAGTTGGCTTCCATTTCTGTGTGTTGAATTCCTTCTGGGCAGTAGTAGCTCTGCTGTGTCTTCATATAGTTTCAAAACTTTATAAATTCTTATTGCACATTACAGATTTTCTCAAGTTGACATTAGAGAATTATGTGAAAAATTTAGAGGTGCCGGTAAAAATTATTAGAATGGAAGAGCGCTCTGGGTTAATACGTGCCCGCCTTCGAGGAGCAGCTGCTTCAAAAGGGCAGGTCATAACTTTTCTCGATGCACATTGTGAATGCACCTTAGGATGGCTGGAGCCTTTGCTGGCAAGAATAAAAGAAGACAGGTAAGAATTCATGTGTTATGTCTGCCTGGGTTTTGACTGAACCTGTTAGGACAGTTCCAGGTACCCGTCAAAACTTCCTTATAAATTGCTATTTTTAGAAGGTTTATTATCTAGCTTTTAAAAAGCACCCCTCCCCCATTTAATATAGGCTGATTCATGCTGAGTATTAATATTTGTTTAAGAAACAGTTGAGCAATTCAAACAGTAAAAATGTGTTGAATATTCATTTTGTAGGTGATAGAAATGAGTCCAATTTGAAATAGTGTCATGTTTTATAAAATTTCAAAGCACCTCATTGTGTCCCCACAACCACCCTGTGAGGAAGGTAACATGGGTGTTCTCGTCTGTACTAGTACTAGGGAGGAACAAAGAATTAAGTAGCTTGTCCCAGTTACTGGAAGTGTTGGGAACAACAATTTACTTCTTCCCATTCCCAGACCAGTCTTTTCTCTACTAGGTCACTGCCCTTTTCCAAAATCTGGTTCAAAACCACCAAGAGGATCTTAAAAATGAAGACACACACTCACACATTCCACTGGAATGAAATCGTGGTTACAAAAAAAAAAAAACAAAAACCAAAAACAGAGCACAACTATCAGAATTTTAACTATTTAAACAATGGTGCCAGTTTGTATACACAAATTATGAAATCTGAAAAAATTGAATAGTACTTTATAGGAATTAAGAACCCTCACACTTAGCTGAAATTCCATCTGATAATGATGCTATCAAGTACAATTTTTCTTGCAGATATTTGTACACACTGATGATAAATGATTCCTAATTCCTAAGTACTAATGAAGACAACTGTGTTGAATGCCCTGATACAATAACAAAGCATTGCATAACAGCATAACACCTTATTTGCATAGTCATTTCACCTACCCCAGAAAGGTCTTCCTAGAATTGAAGTTTTTAATTAAGCATCCAAGACAAGGGCTGCTTAGGGTGAGCTAGTCCAACTACATCATGTAAACGGCAGGATTTGGTACTTGCCAGGAAGATAGATGGAGGTTGTCAGTAAAATGAACCATAGCAGTTGAAGAAAGCAGTGGGAACCTTTTAGTCAACTGAGTGTAGTACACAGCTAATAACATTTTTCCACTCCATGTATTGTACAGTATGCACTGGAGGGTAAGGCTGGCAAAGTAAAATGAACTTAGAACATCTTAAATGCATTTCCTGGCAACTTTTCCTACATTATGCTGCTCTTTTAAACATGTGCTTCATATTCAACTTACTGAATTTTTAATATAATGTTGTTCAATATCATCATGCATACATCATTTATTTTTTAATCTAACCTTATGCTTATATTGTATTTGCATGTAATGAATTCTAATGTCTTGTCCTGCTTATACGTTCAAAAGTTGCCGTAAGTAGATAATAAAGTCCTATTCGAGGTTATTAGAACTAATTTTGCCTCCTTACAAATTAAGCCATTAAATTTAATGAAGAAGGAGAGAAAAATACTGATTTTGTAAGGACCAGAATTACCAAGAAACTTTTCCAAGGCTGGATGAATCCTATTGATTTCAGAGAACTAGAGACTTCGGCTAATTGTGTGGAGTAGAAGAGTTAGTTGAAAGTGAGCATTTGTGATAACTGCTGTTACAAAACCAGAATAAATTATGGACAACATTTATTTGCTTTCCACACTTATGGGTGATTCAAAAGCATACTTGTATTTACCCCCTACAAAATATGAAAAATAAGCTCTGCTCTTTGGAATTGGCTACAAGCAATGCAAACTTGAGTAGACCTGAACATTCACTGTAGAGATGACAGACTGATCCTGTAATAAAACGTATAAGCCAGGAATAGAGGAAGATTGGGGGAAGCACAACACGGATTAAAAGAATACCCAGTCTTCTGGTGGAAGTTTCTTACCCTAAAAAGCCACCATCAACAACACCCAGTCTTTAAGAAGAAATAGATCATGAGATAAAACACCAGAAACTTAAGTTGCTTATCTTTCCCTATTTTAAAATATGTATATTGTTATGGTAAATTCTGAGATCTAGGACAACACACTTAGAAATCATCATGTCCCTAATACTTTCAGAGGAGACATTTACCTACACTGATGATTATGATTTTTCATGGTTGCTCTGTTTGTTGATTTTTACTTGTTTGTTTCTATAGTAGGTATTTTCTCCAGGAAAAAAAATTCAGAACTCTTTAAACTAACCTCCCCCTTTGAGATTCAAAATACCAGGTCTAATTTGCCATCATCCACTCTCTGCTTCTGCGTGCTGTTTCTTTTCAGTGAGCTCTAGCTAAAATGATACATAAGATCAAAGTAGAGCTACTAATCATGCTGTGGGTGGAGGTTTTATGAAAAATAGACCATGATCATCCTGCTGAGTTAGTACTTAGAATGCATTTGGAAATCAACTTAAAGACCAATTAGTATATTTGATCAGATAATAAATGATAGAATGAAGTAGAGACTATAAGCAAGATGTAGTAAAAGGAAATGATTCCATTGAGAAAGAGAATAAAATGAAAATAAAGTCGTATTAAAGTCACAAAATGATTGAATTTCAGCTTAACATCTGAGTCTGAACAACCGAGTCTGAAGAAGTCAATGTAGTATTTAAACTAATATTCATATGTAAACTGGTTTTGCTTTTTCTGCAGGAAAACAGTTGTATGCCCCATCATTGATGTGATTAGTGATGATACCTTTGAATATATGGCTGGGTCAGACATGACTTACGGGGGTTTTAACTGGAAACTGAATTTCCGTTGGTATCCTGTTCCCCAAAGAGAAATGGATAGGAGGAAAGGAGATAGAACATTACCTGTCAGGTATGTAGTGCATATCTTCCAACAGATAGTATGTGTGTTTCTATAATAATTAAGGAGTATTGTAAATCTGTGCTCTCATTTTTAAGTCTTTTAAAAGCATTACTTTTTGTTCATACGCACATTTGCATTATCACTGCTTACATGATAATCTAAGAATCAGTGACAATATTAAATTTAGTTTAAATTAGCACAAATTTAACTATTGGAGAAGTGCCAGATTTCTTTGGAAACTTTATATATTCTGATACATAGAATATATTTATTATGGGTTTTCTGACAGTCTTGATGCTTCCAGTAAATATGTATCTTACCTAAATGCATATGCTTTATAAATAGATTCTCAAAATTGAAATAACCAAAAATGTTTTTTCAGATACTCTAAATTTTCCAACCTCAAAGAACTATCTTCCCTATGGATAAAAAAGAAAGCTCCATTTGGAAAATTCTAATATATTAACAATTATGAAGGATTTATTTTTGTTCTAAATTAGTAAAAATAGCTACTTAATTTGAAGTATTGATTCATAAAATATGTTTGCTATTAATACAAGATAAGAAATATCATGTGTATCTTTAGTTGTCCAGATAAGAATTACTCATTGTATTAACATAAAATGATCACCTCCTTATTTTAACATATTATTGTGTACCTCTTACCTGCAACCAAAAATTGATTTCCTAACAATATATTTGAGAGGGAGGGTCACTAGTTTTGCTCTTTAAAGATGAAGTTGGCAAATCATGATTTAGTTTCATTATAAAACAATATATATGACCCATTATCTAAACAAGGATGTCTCCTAATCTGCTGAAGAAATGACTTACCCATTGGCAAGACTAATTACCTAATGAATGAATTAAAGCTAACTCTAGGGGTGCCTGGGTGGCTCAGTGGGTTAGGCCTCTGCCTTCAGCTCGGGTCATGATCTCGGGGTCCTGGGATCGAGCCCCACATCGAGCTCTCTGCTCAGTGGGGGGCCTGCTTCTCCCTGCTCTCTGCCTGCCTCTCTGTCTACTTGTGATCTCTCTCTCTGTCAAATAAATAAATAAAAATTAAAAAAAAATAAAGCTAACTCTAAAAATTGGCTCATGAAAGAGAACAGCTGTTATCAAACAGTTAAAATTGGGATTGTTAACCCTCTTAAGGAGATAATTACTACATCAAAAAGAAAAAATGTGGCTCTGAACAGTTTCATAAAGACATGAAGTTATTATGTCAGTGTTTAAGTCTAACTTAGTGGTCTTTAAATCTTACTATAATCTTCACATTCACCAAGTCTTAGCGATCATTGCTTTTAACAACTTGAGGAAAGACAGGCACTTTTATTACCATTGTTTATTAGAAATCCTGTTTTCCCACGTCATGGTTTCATTTAGTGTTAGCTGATCTTTCAGCTTCTGAACCTATGTCAGAATTTTCAGGATACTTGACCAGTACACTCAAATATAATGTGTTTATTCATTTGAGAATGAAGTTTGAAAGAATGTCACTTTTTAAAACACATTGGCAAAAGACATGCTTTATTTAACTTTATTTTCTCATAAGAGTGAAAACGTAGATAGATAACTCAGAGTTACCCAACATTCACAGTAAGAAATTGTTGATCTCATACACAAAAGTAAAGATCTACATAGAAATTGGCCATTATTTCACCTCTTTCATTAGTTTAAAAAAAAAGGAAACATCCAGCTTGCTGTGTTTTAGCCACCGCTTACATGTTTTTACTATAGTAACACGAAGACCCAATAAAATCGAAGTATATTATATCTGTTTTTCTCAGTAATGTCACAGTATTTCACTTTATAAAGTGCTGAGGGAGCTAGAACAAGAGAAAGAGAGAAACCTCAGTCTTTGCTGAAGTTCCAGATTTTTATGGCAAAAGGTGAAGTTCCAGATTTTTATGGCAAAAGGTTAATTAATTCACAGCCTGTGTTGTAACAGCCCGCAGGTAATTTTCATCAGCATAGCTGTAATGTGAACTTTCTTTGTACTTGTAATCTATTACTCGAAGACGTGATCATTTTTCTCACATTCGTACAAACAGATAAATCATTCTAGGTGTTGAAGATGATTTTTTTCCCCTACTTGATTAACAGAATTCTGAATAGCTAAAGTGATTAAAATGAGGTTGAAATTTTAGCTTTTTTAGCAGAATGCCTCATTTAAAATGTCAGTTATGACAGAACTTTCTAGTGACTATAATTGGCTAGTTAGTCATCATTTAGAAATACAGTCATGCATCTGCATACATAGAGAACCAACTTGAACTTGTGACTTAACCTTAGATATACCCCATTTAAACTAAACTTTATAATGGTTTATACGTATTATTCTATTGTCAACTTCTGGGCTTTGATCTATTCATTTTGATACTAAGTGAAGTTTGTAAAATACTTGGTATTTGTGAAGTTATGAGTTTGGAATAATAGCACACATAACCTTGAACATTTAGTTTTCTTAAATCAGTAAACTCTTCTCGACATTTTAGCAGTCATATTACATGACTTTCAGTAATATCTCAATTATATGTGCAACAATAGAGTAATCAAATTGTTCAACTAGAGGTCATAAACCAGGAGCTTATGTATCAGACATGCCGTGTAGATATGTTTTTTTGTTTTTGTTTTTGTATTTTTTTTTGGCATACATAGTGTTTTGCATTTTAAAAAATTACCAACATTAAAAAAATTTTTTTTATTAACATACAGTGTATTGTTTGTTTCAGGGGTACAGGTCGATGATTCATCAGTCTTAAACAATTCATAACACTCCCCATAGCACATACCCTCCCCAATGTCCATCACCCAGCCACTCCACCCCCCACACCCCCCTCCCCTCCAGCAGCTCTCAGTTTGTTTCCTGAGACCAAGAGTCTCTTAAGGTTTGTCTCCCTCTCCGGTTTTGTCTTGTTTCATTTTCCATCCCTTCCCCTATGATCCTCTGTCTTGTTTCTCAAATTCCTCAAATCAGTGAGATTATATGATAATTGTCCCTCTCTGATTGACATATTTCATTTAGCATAATACCCTCTAGTTCCAGCCACACCATTGCAAATGGCAAGATTACCAACATTATAAAAATGAGATGTTCTAAGTAAATGTATGAATTTTTACCTATCCTTGAAAAGTCAGATCTTGCTATAATGGTCTTGTTTTCCTACTTTGGCACCATCAGGTGGGGTTGAGTAAAAGCTACCATTTAGAAATAGCCTAAGGAGTTGCCTGGGTGGCTCAGTCGGTTAAGCATCTGCCTTCAGCTCAGGTCATAATTCCAGGGTCGTGGGGTCAAGCCCTACATCTGGCTCCCTTGCTCGTCAGGAAGGCTGCTTCTCCCTCTGCCTCTGCCTGCTGCTCCCCCTCCTTGTGCTCTCTCTCTCTCTGGTCTGTCAACTGAATAAATTAAAAAAAAAAAATCTTCAAAAATGGCCTAAAGGTTTACCTTAGTCCCCCAACCCCTTTTCTTGTGTGTTCCTGAGGTTGAGGCTGAGGATCAGTGTCCATTTGCCACCATTCTTTTTTTTTTTTTTTAAAGATTATGTATTTATTTATTTATTTGACAGACAAAGATCACAAGTAGGCAGAGAGATAGGCAGAGAAAGAGGAGGAAGCAGGCTCCCCACTGAACAGAGAGCCTGATGTGGGGCTCAGTCCCAGGACCCCGGGATCATGACCTGAGCCGAAGGCAGAGGCTTTAACCCACTGAGCCACCCGAGTGCCCCCATTTGCCACCATTCTTGCTTAAAGAAATGTTTCTCGGTAACTGTTCCAGTCAAGCTTGTTGCAACTAATCAACTTCACATGTTGACTTTATTTGCCTCGCTATAATCTTTTAAATTTGTGACCTTGACTTAGAGGCTACTGCCTGGGAAATGATTGAATTGGAAGCTCATGAAACATGTTAGCCCTGCATGAATACGCATCTCCATGACCTAATGGAATAGGCAACCAGTAACATAACTTATATGGTAATGCAGATAATCCCCTAAATCATTTCATTAGGTTGGGGGTGTATTATGCATTTTGCTAGTGTGTATCTTTTTTTGAGGTGATATGGTTCAGGCTACTGAAGTGAGTTGAATTATGTATGCAAATGTGCATGCCTCCCGACTGTGGAGCCCTGTGCTAGGTTCTGCTCATACAAAAATGAATCTGGCTATCTCTGTTCTGAAGTGGCTCACTGGTGCTGGCCATATGTATGCTGGACAAGGGAGTGGGGAGAGCCTAAGTGGCCAGAGCGCAGATGCACAGGAGTTAGACTACATCAACTGCTAGAGCGGTATGTGCTTCTGGAAGAATCTGGCTTTAATCTTATTGATTGTTTTAGTTTCTTAATTATGCCCTGTAGTAATCTTTGATAAATAATTATAAAGATAATACTTTCTACTTTAATTTTTCATTGATTAAAACAGGTTACTTTATTAAAAAACCTACTAGTTATTTATCAAGTCTATATAGCTTTCTTTACTCTTTCTGTCTGCCTTATGGACTCTTTTACGTTTAGTCATTAATAATATTATTGACATGACTTTTTTCATTCTTACATGGAATACCATATTCAGTATCTTCCTCAGGTAAAACAAAAGTGTTAGATTTGCTTCTAATATTTGCTCTCATAATAAATCAAACATAGATGTAATGATGAATTTTATTCCTTACACATTTTACTTACTTAGAGATCCCTTTTTATTAACATTTGTCTGATATTATACATTTATTTTTCTCTCAACTGGAATTAGGAATTTGTAAAGAAGATAAAATTAATTAAGCATTATTAATAACATCTCAGATTATAATTATTGTTCCTTATTGTGAAAAACTCATAAGATGTTCACATATATTAGTTCCCATAACCTTCTAGTGTGATATCATAGAGGAAGCATTGAGGCTGGCTTTGAAGGATCTAGGTTTTATTTCAAGCTCCTTCGATTGGGAAATTACCCATTCTTCTCAACTATGAAAAATAATATTATTCTCTGTTTTGCTGAACTTGTGAAGTGTTA